AAAATTTAGTTTCAAAAGTTAGCAACAGATGGCGCTGTAAGCGGCAGAATCACGACGAGAAACGAGAAATGATTCGTAAAACAACGGCTAAGGTGGAAGTTACACATTAAAACGCATTGACAAATTAGAATTGTTGAATAATTTTATTTGCATGACTGTACATATCACATCGAAAGGGACAAATCGGTTTCAAGAGTTTTGCGGCGACATACCGCATAAGAACCATTCATCAAAGAAGTTCGGAACTGTCGCGAGACTGGCGCAAAACATGTTCAATATGGTGTCCACCGTTGTGTGCAACAAGTTGAAAGCGACAAACAGCATGTTCCACAACGGATCGCAGTGTCTCCGGGGTGATGTTCAGAATGTGTTGCGAAATGCGTGCCTTTAATTCCGCTAAATTTGCAATTGGAATTGGAGCACGGAACACAACATCCTTCAGATATCCCCACAGCCAGAAATCACACGGAGTAAGATCAGGCGATCGGGACGGCCAGGCTGTAGGGAAATGACGGCTGATAATTCGAGCATTTCCGAAATGGCGCCTCATCAGCAGCTGCTTCACAGGATGTGCAATGTGCGGAGGAGCGCCATCTTGCATAAAAATGATTTCATCCACACATCCACGCTGTTGCAGAGCTGGAATCACGTGGTTGCGCAAAAGAGACGCATACCTCTGACCAGTGACGGTTGCGGTAACAGGACCGGAAGCACCCGTCTGCTCGAAAAAATATGGTTGTAGGATGAATGATGCCGTAAAGCCACACCATACCGTGACCTTTTCAGGATGAAGTGGTACGGGGTGCGTTGCCAGTGGATTTTCTGTTGCCCATATTCGACAATTCTGGGTATTCACGTATCCTGTCAGATGGAAATGGGCTTCATCTGTCCACAAAATTTTCCACGGCCATTCATTATCCACTTCCATGCGAGCCAGGAATTCTAACGCAAACGTCTCCCTAGCTGTCAGGTCAGACGGAAGCAACTCCTGCACATGGCCAATTTTGTACGGATAGCATTGCAGGATGTTTCGTACAATTTTCAGCACCGCGCTCGTAGGCCTGTCCAATGTTCGGGCAATTTCTCGTGCACTGCACGGTTGCACACCACTGGCCGACCCCTCTTGTAATGCTGTGACCACTTCTTCAACTACCTTCGAATGCACTCGTTTTCTCCCTCTACCAGATATTGCACATCAAACGAACCTGTCGTTTCGAATTTTTGCATCATTTTCTTTAGACCTACGACACTCATTGGACCAACGCCTTCTTTTATACCCTTCAGTGTCCTGAATTTTTGCAGAGCTACTCTTGCACAATCATCATTCTTGTAATACAGCTTTACCAGCAGAGCGCGGTCCTGCAGTGAAACACCCATGGCGAACGTCTGAGACGCGAAATGAGGAACAGCCTGGTACCTGGCGGCTTTATAACACTGAAATTTAACTAACATTTTAATTTACGTCTTCTTCCGCTTGCAGCGCCATCTGTTGCTAACTTTTGAAACTAAATTTTTTTTCTTCTGCCATACGCTTTCCGCCTTCTTCAATAACATTCCTTTCAAATTTGACGTCATTTTCATGAGTGGTTCTTTTTTTATAGCGTTTTGAAACTTAAACTTTAATTATAATCACCTGTATTAAAAAGTATTGAAAAACCGCTTTTAATTTAGTTCGTTTTTCGCGCAGAAAGAACAAATTCTGAAAAAAAAATACATTGTCACGAACAACTTTGGGCTTTGTACGTAAGGACGGCATAAAAGACTCTTTTTTCCCAAATGAATTATAAAATTGATTCAAAATAGATTCGGAAAAGATTTTTTTTTTCGGTGGCGTCTGAACATCCGTATAGACTTATGTATTAATGTATCTCGCATAGCTCAAAACGAGTAGCATCAGAACGTTAGAGTTTTGTATGTAGGACTGCTATAACATGTAGTTGTGCACCTCCCTTTTTGGTTGCAGTCGACCGTAGCAAAAGTATATAAATATTTTTATATATTTATAAATATAGATATAGGTTAATATATATATAGGTTTTAGGGCTTTAAATAACCTGCCTGCTATAGTTGTAGAATTATTAACAATTTAAAAATTGTTTATGTGCGCTATGCCTTATTTTTTTTAACCATAGCATCCATATTTGTTTACATTTGAAACTTAGCAGATTAGAAGATTTGTTGCCAATCTAGAGAAACTAAGCTTCGTAACAACAAAGTAACGTTTCTTTTATTATTGCGAATTAAATCATGTTTAATCCATTCTGGAATTATATCATTTAAATAGTTAAATTATCTCATATATTGACTCAGCCTTGCATCAGCAACAAATAAAGTCAATATCTACACCTTCAATGTCTTATTTCTTAGTGAAACCAAAAGTAAACTTTCAGTTTTGTGCACCGAAAATTCTGACTTCGGGCACGCTGGCCGAATTGCTTGTTTTTGCGTAGAAACTATAATTTTAATTGCAATTTTTTTAAAAATTGTTTTAACTGTATTTGGTGTTTTATGTTTTTATATATCTTTCAATTTTTAGTATATATATTATAAGTTTTTATGTATTTTTGCCTTGTCGCGAAGTGAGAACAGAATTAATTGTACCTCTAATGAAATTCAGGGAAATAAAGTCAAATGAAATGGAGGAAAAATGCCTATAATTTAATATTCCGTACAAGGAAGTCATGTGGTGTACACATCAGATTGTTTTTGCATTTAATATCATTCAGTGATATTTATTTGTGATTTAATAGTGTGTTATATTTTTTATTTACAATTTTGTTAAATTTAGTATACGAAAAACATTTTCACACAAGTAACACGCAATTTTTTAATATTAAATTATTCACATATAATTTAAGTACTTAAGGATCTTAATGTCATAACCACACAAAGCATTCATTGGACTAGAAATGTTTTTCAGTTTAAATTTATGTGGGTTACATTATGCAAATAATGTTACCACATTGCAATATTGGAAGCTTGCCAATATTTTCAGGAGTACGATTTTTGTAAGATTTTGTGAATAAGAGTTCCTTTTTGAAAAAAATGCATTGATCAAAACGTTTCACGACTGTCTATTTATTAATAAATGTCACTTCATCTATTATTTAATCAAAAATATTTTTTTAAAACTGTTTCATTTTTAGTTAGGAATATATTCAAATATTTCGCCTTACAATTTGTTTACGATTCCTGGTGTTAAGAGTGCAGGATTTCAAATAAGAAAATCTAATATCTCGGTCAATTTTCATTGTGCAGGAACCAAAATTTTTTATGTCATTTTCTTGAATGAGTGTGAAGGTTTATTAAACATAAATATGGGAAACATATTAAAAATTCGGATTTCGTAATTTAAAAAAAATAAACCTTGAAAAATGCCAAAAGAGGAATATGTTCCATATTAGAATATTTTTATAGTTGAAAGTATGTGTTTAGGACTGCAAAATTAATGTCCGGGTAAGATTGTTTATGGCAGTGTTATTAAAATTAATGGCCGCGTTAAATATCTCGGTTCATTTTTGACGTACGGGATTCAAACTTCTTATCATTTTATTTTTTTCAAAATTTTCCCATATATAAGAATTGGGTGATCGCACTAAAATTTAAATTCGTTATTTGGCTAAAATTAATTCGTTTCTAAAACTTAAAATTGCCAAAACCTGAATATTTTCGTCATTTAAAACACTTCCGTAAATTGTATATGTTTACGACCAACGATCGTGAAATTAATGGCCGCGTAAAGACTTTTATAGACACAGTACATAAAAGTTATATTTTTATACTTGCAAAATTAACGATCTAAAAAAATTTCTCTATGTTATTCGACGAAATCTCATAACTGGAAGGCATGCATAAGCCGAAAACGTCGCGGAGAAAACAACGCAAGGCAAAAATGTCGAGGTACGAAACATGGTAGGGAAAAGGACAGCAAGGAGAAAATATCGCAGTTCTAAAACATCGCGGTACAAAATATCGTGGTCGAAAATATCGTAGTAAGAAATAAAGTACCTACAAATCATCGCATTTTGATAACATTGCACACATGTGTTTTGAAATCCCATACTTGACGAATTATGTAATTGACTTTCGTCATAACTAACAAATAGACACCCAAAAAATTGATTGCACGCTATACATGGACATTCTAACCACACTTTAAGAATAAGCGGAAACAAAACAAAATATAATTTTCATCAAAACAATATCACATTAACAAACGTGAAAGAAAGTAATTTGATAGTTAACTCAGCAATTTTTATAGAGGTAACCCCATGCAGTTATTTATCTTCCTTTTTCCAAATCTTTTTAGGCTGTATGTTTCATGAAAAATTATGAGCTATACTTTACAAAAAAGATGAAATTATGAATGACCTTTGATAATTAACTATGTTAATTAAAAATTCTATTAAGTGCTGTAAGTTGCATTAATTTTCCATTAATTTTTAATTTTTAAATGCTTAAGTTTCCTTCTTACTTTTTCAGCAAAAATTTGTTAGTTCATTTAAAAATATGAAATATAAAAGTAAAATTATCCCTCTTTCCTTCTTGTGCTCCCAAACCATTATGCGAAAATGCATTTACAACTTTTAAACCTTGAAAGACACACGAGTGCGATGTTATCGTCATGCGATTGTTTGTAGGTATTTTATTTTTTACCACAATATTTTCGACGACGATGTTTTAAACTGCAACCTTTTGGAACCGCTTTATTTTCGAGCACGATTTTGTACCACGATGTTTTAGAATTGAGATGTGTTTGTTCTCTTTGCTTTCTTTTCTCCTACAATGTTCTCTAACACGATGCTTTCGCTTTGCGTTGTTTTCTCCGCCACGTTTTCGTCCGCGAAGGTTTCGGTGAATACCATGCGTGCACCATATAACACGCATTCAACATTTTCGAATATCCTTTACGTGGATTCATATGTTGAATAATATAACATGTTGTATTTTGAATAGTCGTAAGTTCATCCACAAATTTAAAAAAAAAAAAAATAAAAAACCGATAAAAGATACCCTTCACAGAAACGGCTTCCTTTGCCGAGAACGGCACCCCTAAGAACGGCGTTTCCTTTTCCATTTCGTCCACAGTCTTCGTCCCTGAGCTGATAAGTGCGTCGACTTTTTTGGCATCCTCCAGAGCTTCCTCAAACCTTTCGTCCACGTAAGCATTGATGAGTGGTTGAACTGCCTGTATTCGAGTGATGTAAGACTTGACGACATCGGAGCTTTTTATCTGCAAAAATGGAACCAAAGCAATTAGTAACAGATTAAAAAATATTCTACAGCTCTTATAAATCATAGATAGTAATCAAGAAATAAACGAAATATGCGTGAATGAAATCAAAGGATGTGAAATCTCGCGTTTCTTGAAAAGTCAAGCTGTCTTTCTATGAAAATGAGAGCAACAGAAAGACACATATGATATATGATCTAAAGATAATGAGAGTTTCTGATAAAATTCTGTAACTGATAAGAGCTGCGTTTCTGACCTTACATAATTGTTAGCATTTGACCATTTTTATCATGTTCCATCTAGCCATCCCGGCGTCTCTGATGTTATTCATACTGTCATAACAATGCTGATTAAGACGATATTTTACATCGTACGAACATAGTGAGTACGATGTAAAATTTATTATGGAAAATAGTAAAGTTTACATAGTCAGCACTATGCAAAATTTTCTCTTTTATACGTAGTGAGTCCACGAAGTTTCAGGGGTAATTTTTTTAACAAATTCCAGCAAATTTGACAAACGATACTTATTATTACAACAGTTAGTATTCGTTATTATTATTAGCAATACTCATTATTATGAAATATCAACCTGCTTTCCTTAAACGATCGTGTATTTCAGAATAGAATTTGCTATGCAAACTTGCTTTAATCCATATATGTTGTTATGAATTTACGAGCTAAGGAAATAATAATATTAAGGTCTTGCTGTAAAGCGAAGGAGTAAAAGAAACGGATAAAACAAGGGGATATTTGAAATATTGTGGAAAACGTACCGGGTTCAAGTATTAACACGATTCAGTGTTCTTCAAAGGTACGGGCGATTTCGCAATGTGCCCACATCACGAGCGTTTGCCGTTCACAACTTTTCAAATGGATGAGAGCATCCAAAGAGTTTGACAATTATTACTGAAAACTCATAATCTACGTCTTCGAATATTAGCTGATGAACGTAACATAAGCAACAGAAGACTGCTCATAAAATAAACTAAAAACTAAACTCAGTAGCGCAACAGCCCTAGTGGGCCACGGCCTGCAGTGACTCTAAATCTGCTTTCTTGCCCTTCGGCCCCGGAGTGCGTCAGCATATTCCCCGGGGAAGTGGTCAGCTTGTCGCAGGACCCCGGTGTGTACCCCCCAAGCGAGCTTGGTACTCATTTTATCGGCCCACTCAAGAGATGTAAGGATGAGTCAACCTTGCCCAGCCCGAGGATCGTACCCCGGACCTGTGGCGCAGCTGCGCGACGTACTAGGCACTGCGCCACCGGGCCAAAGACAGGCCTCATAAAATAGCATTGAAAAATCCTTGGTAAAAAAGAAAAGAAAACTTTGTTCTAATTTTGCCCTGATGACAGAACAGAAACAAAATCGACATTCAACTTTTAGGGATTTGGTATAATTGGCAGATTTATTGCAGATGTTTTCAATAAGTTATGTCTGAAGATAAAGCTTGGTGCTTTGCTTATGATCCTCAGATAAAACGGCGATTTTTTGCTCAAACTGGGCAAAGTTCATTGCGGTCACAGAAATTTTGGTAAAATTTTATTAATTGAAATATTTCATTTTCAGAAAATTTTTTTCTGATCGATAGACCATGAATTCCATAATTTATTAATCTACATCCTCCATTTTAAATATATATTCTAAATAGACACCGTGTTCACCGGCCTTACCAGGTGTCATGCACCAATAACATTTTCTTTTTTTCAAAAATATGGTTTCGAAAATAAAGGACGAGTAAGGACTTTCATGAATGGTAATAATTCGTAAATATTATGCTGGATATCTTAAAATTTGAAGTAGATGTGCACATGCAAATTTCGTAAACGTAAATGATACTTTCCGATTATCTACATTTGATAGAATTGCTCTGTGTTTGGTGTATTTATTACTATACAAATGTACACCACGGAAAGAAGTAAATCAACGGTAGGATTTGTAGATCAAAAAACGTTACGAAGTTCTAGAGTTAGTTTCTTTCTTACCTCCATGGTATACATTCGACAACAGTCAATTCACATGCGCGTAACATATACGTATTTTAGTATGCTAAAATGTCATGTGCGTTTGCATGCTTTATATTTATCTGCAGGCAGTCAAAATATAAATATAGGCCATAGATTTTTATTTATTTAAAAATCATTTATGGTGACGATGCTCAGATTTGAGATAACAATGGACATTCTGAGTGCAAAAGTATAATAACTACGATTGTGTTTTCTGCCACTGTCATGGTTGTTACCAGTTTTCTGTCGGAATCACGTTTTATTGCATATAATCATTATTATTACTATATATTTTATTCATGTAATTTTATAAAGAAAGGTGAAAGCTAACGTAGAAATTGCGGATGGCCTTTTAACAACTTCGGATAATACAGTGAACAGAGTCCTCAACATTGCGGAGTTTTGAGCTCATTTTTCTAGACCAGTGGTTCTCAACCTTTTTTGCCTCAGGCATTCCTTTCATTATTGCTAGAAGATCATTCTCCCGCCCTCTTTTCCAAAACTCCAAAAATAAATATATGTATTTATTTAGATACAAATTACTTTTTAACTCGTTTTATAATATAAACAACAAAAAGAACAATAAAAATCTTGATAAATACCAAAACATGAATAAAAGTATTTTTTTACATGCATAAACTAAAATATTTAACAACTAGATAAAAGGCTGACCGCATTCCCTCCTGAATGTATAAAATTCCCTCTAGGGAAATTCTCCACAGGTTGAGAGTGGCTCTGGACCAGAGGACCATGGTCCAGATCAGGGTTTCTTAAACTGCGGGTCGCGACCCCAATTGGTGTCGCGGGACCTGCAATAGGGGGCAGCCAAGAATGTTAGCAATTTTGATATTTCTTTAATTTATTAGAATAATTTTACAATTACCAAATATTTTTACATAATGTATCTGAAAATAGGAAAAGATAAAACAATACAGACAAAGAAAAAACGTAAACGTTTCGACACATTTTTTTATAACAGAAACGTTCATTTTACTTTAAAATTAAAGTTAATGACCTAAAACTACAATAGTATATTACAATACAAGTGTGTCAGATTTGCGCAATGCTTATGGGGTCCCACAAAATTTTCGTAAATATTAGGGAGTCCCCACACCAAAAAGTTTAAGAAACCCTGGTCTAGAGCAAGTAATTTTTTACCGGTTATGCAATCTAATTAATTACTGAAAACAGTAAAAATTAGTATAATGCATTCTGTCTAGAAAAACCTCCCGGATTAATCTTTATACTATGATTTATGTACCTATAATTCAAGAATTTGATAACACAGATCAGCATCTAAATGTTACACCAAGCAAAAAAGAAGCCAAATTTTGATAATTTCATTAAGTTTTATTCCGATGAACAGAATTATGACAATCAAAATTATGTATTAGATCAGGATTTGTAGATCCATAAAAATGTATCTTTTAAACAAGGATTACTGCTGGAGCCACCGATTGCCACCGATGTGTCTCTATTACAAATATTAGCTTTATCATAATTTTTTATATAAACAGAGCAAAAATGTAGCATATTCGTATTTGTATTTATTAATAACTGTAACATATTTCTCATAAAATTAATACTTAAATTTTATGAAAAACAGTTTTTGTAGTACCAAAATGCTAATTAAATGCAGAAGTATACTTGGGGAACTTATTAGTTGGCTTCTTGGCCAAATCTGGCTTTAAGTCTATAATCTTAATTTTAAATTAGAAGCTTTGGTTAGGTAACATCTATACTATCAAAATCAGTGCGCGTCTGTCTGTGTTTTTGTTTGCGGCATTACCTCCTCCGCAATGGCGGAGAGTTGAGTTTTCAAAGAGGTACCCCCGGATTCCAAAAAATCATGTGAAGCCATTTAGACCATTCTCATTTTCGTACGACTTTAATTAGCCGAGATATTAATTAAAAACTCTGAAAACGCTAATTTTCGACCTCAGTTTTCCGAGTGGCAACAATCTTGCACGCTGGAGATAAAAATCTGCTTTATTTCGAAAAGTGTTGCCACTGCTTGCTTTTAAGTCATAGAGATTCTTGATAAAGAATTTCTTAATTTTACAAAATATGAAATAAGAATAGTATTTCCAAACGTTAAATATATTATTCCAGATTCAAAAATTCGTGGGAAGGCTTTTCGACCATTCTCATCTTCGAACGACTTTAATTAGCCGAAGTATTAATCAAAAATTCTGAAAAACCCTAATTTTCGCACTCATGTTTCCGAGTGGCAACAGTCTCGCTAGTGGAAGATAAAAGTCTGCGTTATTTCGAGAAGTTTTGTCACTGCTCATTTTGAAATCGTTAATAAAAGTTTATAAGTTTTGAAAAATATGAAATAAAAGTAGACATTGCCAAACATTAAACTTATTATTATTATAGAAGGTCATATTCTAACTTTGAAGAAAGCACGCGATTGCATGTGACGTCATTGTATGTCGAAAATTGTTCATTAATGTCAGCATTTTAAATAAATAGCTGCTGTTGGCAACTTTTTTGTTTCAGGTTAGTATAACTGACAGGATTTATTGCTACGTTAATTATTTTATTAATAGAGAGAAAATGTTATTATATTACTTTAAATACATTTAATGTTGTTAAACTACAATAGTATATTACAATACAAGTGTGTCAGATTTGCGCAATGCTTATGGGGTCCCACAAAATTTTCGTAAATATTAGGGAGTCCCCACACCAAAAAGTTTAAGAAACCCAAGTCTTTGTATGACAGCTAGTGGTATTTTCTTCCACTCGGCTTGAAGAAGACATTGAAGTTCCTTCACCGATTTTGCACGGGTAGTGCACCCCTGAATTCGGGATGCAACTCGTCCCAGAGGTTCTCGATAGGGTTCAGGTCTGGACTCTGGGCAGGCAAGTCCATTCGATGAACTCCATTTGCACCATACCAAGCCTTGGTTAACGTCGAAACATGACAACTGGCATTGTCGTCCTGAAAGTAACAGGGGTCCAACCCGTAAAACTGCCACAACGTAG